TACGTTTACGTTACTACACACACACACACACACACACACACACACACACACACACAAATATGTTGCTTATTTTTATATAATAATGTATCATGTCTTTTGAATCTTTAAAAAAAAATATTTTGTTTACAGATGGTAGGAGTTCCCGTAATGGTACTCATCAGTCGGGTAGTGCATCGAGTAGAGATAATCATCCATTATTGGATAATTCACAAAACCGGAATGTCTCAATGCTTCCGCCTGTATTGAAGTCGGCCTCCCAATCTGGAGCGATAAGTCACAAGCCTCCAATGTCGGAGCAAGAATTTACAAAGGCTTATAATTCCATAATGAAACATTATTTGGAGGAGCCAATTGTTGAAGTAAGATCTCTAAAGTTTAACATTTCTCACTTGAAACTTACAATTCATCTCGTACTGCTCGTACTCCATTTATTTTTGGGTCTTTAATCGATTTTTTTAAATCATGACAAAATGAGAATCGTAATTGCCAGATCAATTGATCAATCAATCAATCTTGATCCAATCAATCGATAATTTAAGTGCGCTATTTAATTTTTTGCAATATTAAAATTCTGAAATTTTTAATCTCAATTTTCTCGAAAACCTGATGTGATAACCAATTTTGCTGTCAAATTCGTTTTCAATGAACAAAAGTCCATTGGAAAATACTTTTTATTTAGGTCTTAAAAAAAGTGTTCGTCTGTGTAATTAATGAAATCTGCAAATATATTCGCGTTATGATCAACAAATTTGAAATATAAATATATATATATATGTTACGTTGATTTTTATATATATGTATAATAAATCAATATAACATAGATATTGTTTGACAATAACATGAGTTTAATTCGGTTAAGTTAATCAAATAAAGCATTGTATAAATATTGTAAATCATACGATGCACGCTCCTTAGATCCATCTCTGATTCAATAGGAGATGCTTGAGTCATTGGCGTGCGATATTACGCAATACCTTCTTTTTAGTTCTGTGTGGTAACGCTACATGCTATTCACATTAACTAAAAAGAGGACAATATTTCATAAAACAGATTTTATTAAAATTATTCTTAGACTTCAAAATGATACGATATATATTTGTGTTTTCTTCGTAGAATACGGGAATAGAGATTCAACAGAAATTCGATAATGCAACATTCGCCAAATTTACACGCGAATGTATTAATCACGTTCTTGAGAAATCGCCTACTGAACGAGAACTGATTTCAAAGTTGTTGTCCCATTTGTTAAAGGAAAATATTCTACCTGTAGAGTGTTTCAAGAGTGGGTGAGTTATCTGCTTTATTCATAAAGCAAATTGTTGCATACTAATAGTTTACATATTAATTGATGAAAGTCTTGATAGAGAATTACGAGGGTAGATTGAAAAGTTTTCGACTTGACTAAGAAAGAGCAACATTCAGTGGAATTTCAATACTTGTCCAATAGTTGATACTGAAAGAAACACAAAGAGCTAAGTTTGATGTTATTCTAGCGATTAGCTTGTTTCTGACAGCTTTTTAAAGTGACAGTTTGTCAACAATGAAAAAATTGAAGTATTGCGCCGTGATAAAATTCCTTCATTTGAAAGAGAAATCTATGGAAATTAAAGCTGAATTGAGTTCAGTGGAGATTCTGCTCCTTTATTTACGACTGTACGAAAACCTAGACTGCTAAGTTCAAAGGTGGGTATTTCCAATGAGGATGAAATGATCTATTTTGTTCACCAAACCATGATGGACGATCATCGAGAGAGAGAGAGAGAGAGAGAGAGAGAGAGAGAGAGAGAGAGATGC